ATAATAATAATAATAATAATAATAATAATAATAATAATAATAATAATAATAATAATATCTCCCAGCGAAGCACTACCTTGATGTGGTTGTGGGGCTTGTGTGCTCCGAGGAGGATGAGAGCTATGCCAGAGGTTCAACCGTACCAGACAGGTCTCATCAGAGGAGCCAGATAAAGAGTGTCTCTCCCGTAAACAATATGGTGAGATGTAATTTACTGAAACCCATACTGAATCGGTCATCGCCTGGGTCATAGGTGCCTTGGATGCAATCCCCAAGCATCTGGAGCACCACTTGAAGACCATCGGCATTGACAAAATCACCATCAGCACATTGCACAAGGCAGCTTTACTTGGAACAGCTCACATCCTGCGACGATACCTTTAACACCATCGAACAACATCATCTGCCTATCCCAGGTCCTTGGGATAAACATCTGGCTGACTGTGCGACCAACAATTTATTTATTTATATTTCACGTTTGTCATTGCCCATCTTCCAAGAACTGACTCTGGGCGATTTACAGTAAAAGAAAAAAAAACCAATAATAATAATGACATGCTACCTGACTCCCAACCACTCTTATTTTACGGTCATCGCCGTAAAATAAAGTGTGAGACAGCAAGTAAAAAGCACAGTAAAAGCTGATGATTATAAAACTGGTGTGGTCAAAGTGTAACATATTTTAAAACAAAACTTAGCCACGTTAAGAGAAATAAAATCACATTGATCAGATAGTGGCACCTGGAAGTAAAAAGGCTCCGGGTGGCCTGGAAGTCTGGCCAGATGGGTTGTTATTAACTGCAACCGAGCATCTTTGTAATGAGAGCTATGTAGCTAAAAGAATGTGGGTTAGTGTTTCAGGAATTCCACCACAGGAGCAAGCCTCGTGTGAAGAATAGCTGTTGCCAGGTTAGCATTCTTCTGAATGTGGAGACTGTTATTTAGCTCCGATCCCTGGTGAACGGCTGCCCAAGTACACATCTGATTGGGCTTCCAAATCCTTGGCACGCTGTTTAAGGGCTGCCTTTGCGTGCTCGCCTCCCGGCATCAAGTGCAAAGCCATAGCACCTCAGCTTCTCATGCAGTGTCCTACCCCTAGCTGTGAAAAGGTAGTTTGTTGTTCTGTTGGAACCCAGGCTCCCTGGCCCAGGTCTTCCAGAGGGAGGCAGCCAGGAATCTAAGAGAACTTGGGGAGGGGGCAAGAGAAGAGCAGCTGGCCCCTGGGGAGAACCGGTGCATCTAAGGCAAGAGGAAGGGGCTCCAGCAGCCCCTGTGACCAACTGGACGGTCATTCTGTAACTAGGGTCCGAGGAGCGTGGTTGATGGAGCGCTTTAAAAAGAAGCAGTGTTTCATATATTACCTGTTCTATGTTATTGCTAAATAAAGCTTTGATGGTTCATGTTCAGCTGGTCCTTTGAGAAAATGAGAGAGAAAACTATAATAGCCCAACGTCTAGGAAAAGCACGGGGCTCAGGGTGTGAACATCAGTGTAAGACCAAACTCCCCCAGAGAATTCTGAGTTTATCCGTCTTGAGCTGGTAAAGGATCCAAGGAGGAATTTCATGATTGTAACAGGGACAGGCTCCCACTTGCAGGTGGCTTCCAGACGGCACCCGGTGGGACTACCTGTTGGGGATGGGTTAGTGGCGCTCTGCAGTGAGACGGGACCAGGACCAGATGACCCAACAGCCCTTCCAGCTCATACAGTCTATCGTATTTATGATTTGGAGCAACTTATACCAGTTCTATGCAAATAAATGCCACTTTTGCTATCATTACCTCCATGTAATGACAGTTTTTAAAGCCACCAATAATTCAGGGAAAATTCTTGTCTGTTTGATGGCAGACAAATCACTATGTGGAAATGGCTTTGGCAAATACTGTGTCTTTGCCTGGAGCAAAAACATAACACTTTTTCCGGGTGGCCTTCAAGGGCATTGTTTTTTTGTGCCAGGCATATGCTTCTCATTTATTTTTTTGCTTCATGGGATTTTAGTGACTGAAAAACCTGAAGAATCTATTTTTATTATCAGAGAAGAAATTCAAACTACACTTAGTACAGTCAGCATTAATTTTGTTATGCCACAACTGATTCTTTCGCTAGATGATGATTTGGATCATCTGGGAGAGAGAATAGCAATAATTTGTGCAGGTCTGCGGACACTGATCTGACAAACACTTAGCAAGGCATGGAATAAAACTTCTGATTTCGTTTAGTAAAATTAAGGAGTTTCTTCAGAGCTTCATTTAACAAATGCTGCATATGTACAATTGCTTTTTCCCCATAAAAATGAAAGTTTAAAAATCTTCCTATTCTTATGTTATAAAGTCTTTTGATGGATGTTTGCTTTAGTTTTATTGTGCATCAAGAGCAATTTCTGTCCAGATTTAGATTAAAAATGGCCATTAAAAAGTATTCTGTGTACGTGTAAAAAGTTGCTTTTGGTTTTGGTTGTGGGAAAAGAAATTTCAACTTATTGTGGGACTTCATAAGTAAACAAATTAGAGTAATTATGAATTTGGTCATTTTCTGTAGTTATTAGTGCAGTACCCACAGGAGAGGGTGAATCACAGCTCCCACTAGTATTTTCTCGAAGCAACAGGTTGAACTCGGTTTTGCATAATGCTTGTTTTGTTTCTTCTCCAGTGAGGTTTACCGAGTGACAGAAATATTACAGAGGGAGAAATCAGGACTTCTTAAACAATTGGATTTTTTGAGGTAAGAAGGATTCAAAATGGGCCTTAGGGAGTGGGGGAGGTCATCTTCCTTTCTGATGAATGCGTTCTTTATTGCAGTGTTGTGTGGAGAGGACAAAGCTGTTTGTTTAAATAAAAACAGGCCATGGAATGAATAAATGTACATATTTTCCCAGTAAAATAGGAGCATTTATCGTAAAACCTAGGTTGGGTCATTCCAAGTGAGACAGTGAGGCCACTGGTGCTTCCATTAATGAGAAAAATTAAATAGCCAGGAAACTGGGCCTGAGAAGCAGCAGTCCCAGGAGTGGCAGTGCGTTTATTCACGTTCACGAGCAGCAGGTTGGGGGAGGAAGGGGAGCCTCCTCTCTCCTCTCTCTGCTGTGGGGCCAAAGCAGCTGGCCAGATGGGTAGCGGACTCGAGCTGGAGGTGGCTATATGCCTTTGGATCTTAGGAGGACGGTATTTGGGGAGGCGCACCAGGAACTGAGTTGAATACGGAACAAACCAAATTGTTTCCTGACCAATTTTTTAGCAGTTTAATTTGCATAAGGGTAATTCAAGCCCTCATTTCTACTGTGCCTCATTTGTATTGATGCAGTTGCTCACCTAATAGTGTGGAAATGCCTGTTTCCTGCTCCGAACTTTCCAGTTGTCTGTGTGTGAAACTGTAGGCAGTTCTTCCGTAGATGCTGGGGTAGCAATAGCGCTTCCCCTCCCTTCCTTGTCCACTCACCAGCACAAGGCATGCTGAGAGGCCTCTGTTCCTGTGTAGAGCGTTGGCAGATGACCTTGGGGGAGGTAGGCAGGAACTCTTACCCTGGCAAAAGGGGCTGAAGAATTTTTCAAGTCCAGAGCCATGAGATAACATTAGGAAGGGGTTCAGACAGGCACCTCCCTAATTTACTGAACTATAAGAAGAGGGAGGAGGAACTGCACAATCAGACTTTCAATCTCACATTGGTATCTGGCACCTACACAGAACACCCCAGGAGGTGCTGTTGTGGAAGGTGTTCTTCAAATTCTTCTTGGCAAGATACAGCATGTGAAAACAAGGACTGAGCACTGTGGTTTTTAGCAGCAGAACAGCTGTATGCCATTGGGTGTACAACTGTCAAAATTGCTGGTAACATTCCTCTAACTGCAGAGTAGAAAAAAATGCCATTGAAGAAATGGCTTGGTCGCTACTCTCGGCTGTAGACTATTCACTCATTTGCTTTGGGAACAGAGAAGAAAGTGAAGCAGGACCAAGATTTGGATTGGAGATCCCAGTATCCCAGGCTTTGCTGCATGGTTTATCATGGAGCTCATTTTATTTCCAGTTATGTCATCTTCTGCTTGGCTCCACCCTTGATTAGTCACTCTGTACTCTACCAGTACAGAGCTGCTGTACAGTAGAAGAAATATATTGAATTCTTGTATTCAGAACCGAAATTTTAAAATAACATCCCAGAATTTCCTCCCATAACAAAATAGGAATAAAATAGGAGAACATTTCACCAGAATAAATACCCCCAAGTTGGGAATCTTTACTGGTAAATGGGGAGTCTTGGAAGATATCCTTTAATTTTGTCCTTCCGTCCTTCCTTCCTTCCGTCCTTCCTTCCTTCCTTCCTTTAGAGAAAGGAACAAATATCTGAGAGATGAACGTGATATATGTCTCCAACAGGTATGTTTGTTTGTTTGTTTGTTTTCATTTATTTATTTATTTATATTTCAAATTGTAGCTCTTTTTATAAAGGATTTTCTAGACAAAGACCTTTGACAAAAACTATAACTGTAGCTTTACATTTAAAACTTTAAATTCTATCAAATTTAGAAATGGTAGGGTCTGTGATATACTGTAGAGTTGGGAAGCCTTAATTTGAGCACAAAATCTCTTGCAGCAACCATTATTTTGAATTATGCTTCTGTGGTTAGGCTCCAGTTCTGTGATAAGGGAATTGAAGTCTAGTTAGCTTTTTTGTGGATCGTGAGATTACTAAGATTGTAGTATTTATTTAACTTCTTTGTATCTGTCTTCCTTCTATTTAATGCCTTTAAAGAGCATATATGAAATTTTATTTATTTATTTATTTTATATATCACATTT